CTCTGCCCCTCCCCCGTTCATGCTCTGTCTCTCTCTGTCCCAAAAATAAATAAACGTTGAAAAAAAAAATTTAAATGTGTTATATTTCTTTATTTATTTATTTTTTTTTAACGTTTATTTATTTTTTTGGGACAGAGAGAGACAGAGCATGAATGGGCGAGGGGCAGAGAGAGAGGGAGACACAGAATCAGAAACAGGCTCCAGGCTCTGAGCCATCAGCCCAGAGCCCGACGCGGGGCTCGAACTCACGGACCGCGAGATCGTGACCCGGCTGAAGTCGGACGCTTAACCGACTGCGCCACCCAGGCGCCCCTAAATGTGTTATATTTCTAAATAGGAGTACAGCAGGAAGAGTCTTTAAAAATGCTGAAATGTTAAAGGCCATTATCCCTTGGTGGTAGAATTTCATTTGACTCAGAATTTTTCTCCTTGTTTTCCTGGATTTTCTCATGTTCCCACAATGAATATCCTCTATTGTGCTTTTTTTAATTTTAAGTAAAGAAAACTAAAGAACGCTGAGGAAGTAACAAAGGGAATCAATACTCTGAACTTAAATCCGATCTAAGAGAAATATAAGTAAAGTGGAAATCATGAGAATTGGGGCAAAGAATCTATGCCATCTTGTAGTTCATAAGTCACTAAGGAGAAGGCCACTGGGCAGTAAGACTTGTACCTTGAACCTCTGGAAAGTAGCTTTCAGGAAGTACAGAAACCAGGTTATTAGTCTGGAGACTGGAGAAGGCAGTGAGCCCCCTGATCTCCTGGGAAGAGGACTGAAGTCATGGAGAGAGGGCAACTACTCAAACCATTCCGTCTAGGCTGGCCTCTGGCGGAGAGTCATTCTTCCACGGGAAAGGTAGGGGGAAGGGAAAGAAAAAGTCAAGGGGAAGGAACTAAGCCCAGGACAGACGATGGGCCAGCAAGACCGATGCCTTCAATGGTTTCCAGGCCCTAGGGCCACACAAACTGCACTCCAGAGTAAGACTTTACAGGCACACTCGCAAAGTATATGAGAAGCCAGAGGGCAGCTCTAGGCAAAATCGTATTAGGAGATCCTGCAATAATACAGACACTGATCCTTGGCAAAATGCTAGAATAGATGACCGCACGCTACAATTACTGCAGTAAGGAAGCAGTGATCGTAAGGAATAAGCACAGGGTTGCAAAAAAAATGAGTCATGCTTGTTTCCTGGGGTTTTGTATGGATACACCAAGAGAAGGGTGTTTTGCTGTGTGTTTTAGTTCAACAAGGGATCTGACTGAAATTTTCGTAATATCTTTATAAACGAGAAGGAAAAAACAAAAACAAAACCAAAAACACAGGCAGGATAGTCTGGGTTGGGGGCTAAGCTAAATGTGCCTCTACCTAAAAGGGCTGAGATCCACACACCCTGGGGAGTTTGCTGCAAGGTCTACCAGGGTGTCTCAAACTCAGGGGTGGGCCCCAGGGCAAGGGTCGGCAGCTTCTCCTGGGAGGCCCGTGCTTTTTCTACCAGAATGTTTTATTCCGGTGTTTTCACTGTGATGGTCTTTTAAAAATGAACGCACGCTATAGAGAGCACTGTTGCTTTACTGGGCTTTGCCTGTTTCGGGGCCTGTGTGTGTTTTCACAACTGTACCAGTGCCAAGTGGCGCCGCTCTAACTGCGTGGGCTAATTAAGACAACTTAATTCTGCACATTTAATTCACGACACACTTGTGCAAAGTGAGGGATGACGGCTCTTAAGAAGCGTGGGAGGGCTGTGTTGCACTAGACGCTGCAGGGTAGGCGTCTGCAGCTCAGGGAGCCTGAGGTGTCGAGGCTGTGGCACGCTGCTGCTGACAGCCGCGATACGGGTTCCATCAAGTGTCATCCTCCCAGAAGGAAGTTGCTGATGTAATTCTTACTGGCTTTTTTGTAGTTAATTAATTTTATAGGAGCTAGATCAATGAGTTGATAAACAGATTTCTGTGCACAATTAAGTAAGGTTGCAGCATTCTAATGAAGACAATCTAAGTTGACTCAAAAACATTTTTCCTTTAGAGCAGTGATGTTCAAAGCATTCTGACCACGAACCACAGTTATAAAAACAATTTACATAAAGACTGAGTATGTGCGCACCCACACGCCTCCCTGTCCTATGCTCAGGCACTGAGTTTCCTGAAACAAAATCTACGTTACTCTGTGTGATGTGCTTGGGTATTTTTCTACTCTATTTCATTTTTTTTAAATGCTGGCTGTGACTCACTAAATTGGTTCTGCGCCCTAGAGGCTGGAAAACGTGGCTTTAGAGTAGTCGATTCACCACTGAAGTTTGGAAAACCATGCAAAGACCAAGCAGGCAAGTTCAACTCGCAGATGTCACAAAACTGAGGGTTATAAATACAATGGGTGTCAGTATTAGGGTTCAGAGATCTTTAAAAACTAGTATGTGCAGTGCTTTTAGAGCATGAGGCTCCATCCAGACCTAAATGAGAGCTGGGTCTGTGCTGTCATCTGTGGGGTGGCGGGGGCATCCCTCTCAGCCTCACTGCGCTGTAAGACAAAGGGCACAGCACCTCCTGGGATTCTAGGAGGCATCAATAATTACTACGGAGAGCAGCGAGCACACAGTGGGTAATCAATAAACAGTGGTTTAAACTTTGTAGTTGAGTACATCTTGCCCTTGGGTTAAAAAAAAAAAAAAAAATCACATGCATGCAGGACAGGAAGACAGAGCTTAACAGTGGCTCTCCTGGGAAAAAGCCCCAGTGGGTTCTTCTCAAAGCTAAACAGGAGGCAATAGAATCTAGATGTGGTTGCCAAAAAGGCTACTGCAATCTTGGACTGCATTTCCAAAAGTTCAATCACAGAAGAATAAGTTAATCGTCCCAGTGCGTTCTGCACAACTGGGCCACGTCTGGAGTGTCAGCTTTCATTCTGAGGGACATTTTGAAAGGGGCATTTTCAATTGGAGCTTGGTCAGAGGACAGGAGCAATGGTGTGACCAGGATGCCAGACTAGTGATATCCACCAGGGGACTTATCCCATAGGTGGTTCAAGACTTTAGGGTGGTAACTTCAAGAAGGCAGATTTTGGGGATGCCTGGCTGGCTCAGTCAGTTGAGCATGTAACTCTTGATCTCGGGGTCATAAGTTTGAGCCCCACATTGCAGGTAGAGTTTACTTAAAAAAAAAAAAAAAGAAGGCAGATTTTGGTAATGTTCTCCCTTTTCTGGAATCGTTTAGACAGAGGCAGGATGTGTGTCTCTGTCAGAGATGGGATGTCTAGATGGGGTGGGAAGCTGGACTAAACGAACTTTTATAAGACTTTTTCAATTCTCAAGCCATGTTGCGATTAAAAACACAAAATGAGTTACTTGCAGCCAAGGATGGGAAGGGAAGGCAGGGGCTCTCCCAGGAGGCTCCCCTGGGCTCAGGTTCACTTAGCTAAAATTGGTGACTGACTCCCGCAGACATCCTCTGCTCTGAAATAGAAGGACACTAGAATGGGACAGAGTGCAAATGACTTGAAAAAAGGCCTTGAGCTTCTTACTCATCTCCCTTTCTCCCTCTACAGTTGTTGTTACCCTGGACTCAAACTGTTTGGAGACCAGGCTGGGCTCGGAGCGATTCTTCAGTTAGGAAGTTACAGCAGCATTTACCAAAGCAGCCTGCTGGTGCGCGACGACCTTGTACCATTTGGGTTTGGTTTCATTTTCCTCCCCAGTTGGCTCTTGAAATAACCCTCTAGATTTCAAACCAGTGTTTGTAAGTATCTCTCCTAGTGTCACTCAGAGCTTTGTGGCCCCTCGGGTGCAGGCTTGGGCAATCAAAACAGAGACTGATCTCCCTACCACTGGAGAACTATATCCTGGGATTAACCATGAAAGGGAAAAGAGAAGCATTTCCAGTTGGGTGTTTGGAAATGAAAA